CAACAGTACGCGTGCGAAGTGTTTGATAAAATACCGCAAAGAAATCCCTCGCCGCCTGAGAGAGCAGCCATTGCCGGAATGTCGACGGAGAAGATGGAGGTAGAAGATGAGGAAGATGGTGAAAGAGACGAACTATTCTTACCCCAACAAATAACTTCCTGTTTGCCACTGGCATCAATAGCGCAGAAGAATCCATCTGGGCCAAATGCAGCTGAAATAGGAGCCATTGATCCAAACCCAGATACGAAAACAAAGAAAAGATGCAAAAAAACACAAAGGGGTGGCAGCAATTTACAAGATTTGTAAAGGGTACGATGAACTCCCATGATTTCTCCAAGCTACTCACTCTTGTGGGTTGCTTTGGAATGGATTCAGTAGTGTCATGGACAGAAAACAGAGTCTGTGATTGGCTTTGTGAAGCTCTTTCCGCTTGCTCAAGTAAGAAGAAGAAGAAGAAAAAGTATAATGGAGGAGATGAGAGTAATGGTGGTGACGCAGAGAGAACGTGGATTTCGCCATTTTTTTACGGCTTGGATTTAGATTAGATTCGACCCCTTGGAATCTGAAACTACTGAATATTGTTGATGAGACCAATTTCACAGACCACAAAAAGGGTGAAGAAGGTTAAAGGAAACACTTTCATTGAGCTGTGAAATCCAAGGAAGATGGAAGTTTAGTGGTTGTCAACGTTGAAAATTAGGCCTCTTCACCATTTATGGCAACGCAAAAAGCAGAGCAATACCCAACCGGACAACAGATTCATGCCAAGCTAATACCCTCTTTTTAAATTCAATCAAATCCTAACCCAACTAAACAAAATCTTCATTTTTATTTATACTTTCATCCAAATGTGTTTTCTACCTCACCCCTTTCCAACCCGATCATCGTTCAACATAAACTCTCAGTCGAGAACTTCATAACTTCATATCTTATCGACGTGTTAATACTTTACCCAATAAGCTATACATAAGTTTGTCAAAAAGTTGGCACTTTTTTTAAATGAGTTCCATCACATTTATATTATATTTAAGTTTAGGTTTAATTTCTGTTTAGGAGAGTGATAATGACAACAACCCTATTAAAATAGACAATAAAATAATTTCTATTTTTTTTTATGTAAAATAAACTCTAAATTTAGACTAAAATCAAGTTAAGTAATACTTGGGCGGAGAAATAATAATAATAAAAAATTAAATAATGAATACTTTTATTTAATGGTATGCTGAAAACAATTTTATGTTGGATAATCTCTTGTAAATGTTCAAACATTTAAAAGGAATTCGCCATGTTAATGTATATATATATATTATTATATTTTAAATGATTTTATTCCCATTATTTCCCAACATATCTCTTCTAAAATTAATGTATTTTAATAAATTTATATTACAAATGATTTACCCTAACAAAATTCATAATCTTGATTTTAATCATACTTATTAATCTAAGCTGTGGTCTCCACAGCACATGACAGCTTAATTAAGCTCCCACCTGATTTTGATCATTACTTAGTTATTTAATAATTAAGTTATTTGATAAAATATTTAATGTCTCTAATTTTTAGGGCACAAATAATAATTTAAATCATGTATTGTCCTACAATTTTCGTACAACTATTCACCCATCTTTGTAATTTTCTAAGGACATAATTAGATATATTGATTTTTTTAAAAAATCTAATCTTTTCGAGTCAATAAATTTAATGATAATTTTAAAAAATAATTTTATGGGTTATTACGAACTTACATGGAAAGTATTTTTACTCACGTCATTATTTCAAATTAGTTGGGTTGGTGACTCGAGCAACTTGAATAGAGTTTATAACTCAACCCAACCATAAGTTGGGTTGTCGGATTGTTTTTTTTTTTTAATTATTTTAAAAAAATCATACTATCCACGGTACATGTTGCGTTAACAACTAAAATTTTATAAAGTTCAAATATTTACAAATCACAAGGAAAACAAACATTAAATATTTCTAAAAAAAAATTTAAAAAGGGTAGGATTGGATTGTAGTCCTTTTTTTAACAAGTTGACCCAACAAAAAAAAATGTCAACCGTAAACCCGAACCAAATATTCGATTTTTAAAAAATTCAACCCAAACCCAAATAAAAAAAAAAATCTAACTCAACTTAACTTTTATAGTTTGAATTAGATAGTCTTGATAGTTCGAATTGGTCGAATTATCGAGTCATATGAATACCTACATTATCATTAACTTTTCATAAAAATTTAAAAACTAATATCGAAATAAAAATCATTTAAATTTTAGATAGAAGTTAAAACTTGTGTGATAGTGACTTAAAACAACTACGATCATAGTCTATATTTTTTTAAATATAATACAACGCATCCGTCTAACCCGCCTTAAATATTCTAACTAACAAGTAGGCAATATAATATGAATTATAGAGCATGTTATTAATATATTTTGGAAATTCACATGTCCAAAATATTTAATAAGTAACGACCAAATGAAATAATAATAACTTCCAACATGCATTTTATTTTACCCATCACCATATCATATATTACTGATTAAGAGTATTCTAGAGATCTATAGAGTATGATATAATATAAATGGGCAGCGCCAGCACAGCGCGGCTAGTGTCGCGCATGTTGCTGATCCAGAAAACTCGAAAACGACGCCGCCGCGCCCGAAAGTGAGCGCGTGGACTCGCTGTTAAAAGACCGTTATATAAACCCTAAACCCATAAAAGTTTTACAAGTTGAAGAACATAATTAAAATTGCGATTCTATCAGACAAAGAACTGATTGAAGAAGAAGAAGAAAATCCATTAAATTGAGGAACTCCGGAAGGATCTCAAGGTCTTCGCAGCTCCTCCTCTCAGAACAAATTCATGGTAAATTGCAGCCATTGCAGCTCCGATGAAAGGTCCGGCCCAGAATATCCACTGCTCCTCAAAAAATAACAGACTTTGAAAAACAATTTCAAATGGTTTGATTCAAGTTTGAGGAAAAGAATGAGAAATTACGTGGTTATCCCAAGCTTTGTGTTTGTTGAACATCACTGCAGAGCCGAAGCTTCGAGCTGGGTTAATGCCGGCGCCGGTGACCGGAATAGTGGCCAAATTCACCACGAACACGGCAAACCCAATTGGCAGCGGCGCTAGAACCTTTGAAATTGAGTTTTTTTCTTAACAATTATTGAACTGCTAATAATCGTTGGATAAGAATTAGAAATGCTTACCGGAACGTGGGAATCTCTGGCTTTTCTCTTCGGATCGGTGGCAGAGAAGACGGTGTATACAAGAACGAAGGTTCCGATGATCTCGGCGGCCAGGCCGGCGCCGGGACTGAAACCGTCGGCGAGCTCGGTGGCTCCACCGCCGAGGTCATTAAAGTTAGCCTTCTTTAATAACTTCACCAGCCCACACCCACAAATGGCTCCCAAACACTGAGCCGCTATGTACAGTACGGCTCGGACCAACGAAACTTTCCGACCCATAAACAGCCCAAATGTCACTGCTGGGTTTATATGTCCTCCTGCACCGGACCAAATTTAGGACCAAAAAGCCATGGATTTAATCTAAATTGAGGGAGAGACAGAGTAGAACTCGCCAGAAATGCCGGCGGTACAGTAAACGAGAACGAAGATGGTGCCACCGAACGCCCAAGCGATACCCAGAACGCCAACGCCGCCGCAGGCGGAGGCAGAAGACTGCCTCTGGTTTCCAATCACAGTGAGCACTCCGACGTAGAGAAACAAAAGCGTGGCAATGAACTCAGCGATGATGGCCCTGTAAAACGACCACCGGGAAAGCTCGTTGGTGTCGAAAAACGGAGCCGGAGGCTGATCGAGGTAGTCCCCGGCGGAAAACCCGCCGCGGATTCCGGCTTCAACATCCTTAGACATTGGCTGAAGAAACAGAGGAGGGGCAGAAAAGTTGCAGAGTGAGTGAAGTGAAGATGAAGGAGAAATGTTTGATTAAGGGAATTATAATAAATAGGTCAAGAAATGAAATATTCTTGGACGTAAACTGGAATCCATGGTTGCTGAAACTGCCAATTGCCTCGATTTCTTCGAAATGGATTCGTTTCGAAGTTGAAAACCAGGAATAAACTAGGCGGCAAACTTCCGACCGACTAAGCCCATGTCATGTCTAACATTTCCTTGTATTATTTTATTATTATTAATTATATATATTTTTATCATGAAATACCTAAAAATGTATTCGATAGTGATAAGTAGTCATGAAATTTCTCCGACCATATATTATAAGCTCTCTTTTCCACGTGTTTACTAAACAATTGATATTTACGATGCTTTATTTCAACTTATTTATTCGTTCATGTCTTATGAAAACATTTTTTTCTCAAAAAGCAATTCAAGGTTAAGAATTGTCCACAGAAAAAGTGTTGGATCATCGTTGTCCCGAGCTCCTTGATTTTCTAGAATATTTATTTTTTTAAAGAAAAAAAAAGTATGCAAATTCTAACGGAATAACTTTGTCATCCACAGTCGTTAAGTCACCACCATCCATATAAATTTGGTACCTATAAGTTATACGCGAGATGTTATATTAAGTGCTAAAGCACATGAATGATATAGAATAATTTTATACATTCCGTACTAAAAGAGTTGTTTCAAAATCAAATAAATATTAAATCATAAAAAAGTTGGGATGGGATTGATTTAAGTTATTTAGGCTATATATTCAAATTCTACTCCCAAGTAAAAAAAATGAAGCAATTTTTTTTTTATGGGTTCAATCAATTATAAAATATGTGTTTTATTTTAAAATTTGATAAAATTTAAACGAAAAAACCTAAATTTTTGGTTGAAATTTATTAATTTTAATTAGCGAAAATTGAATTTGGAAGTAGAAATTACCATAAAATAAAGGTCAATGATACAAATTAATATATTTTACATAAATTTATTTGTAAAACGATTTTTTTTTTACGTTTTTATTTGTAAAATTATCATATGGAAGGAACTTTATTTGTTTTCATATAAATAGAATTCTTAAATACAATTCAAATATTTGCTCCCTTCGACTAAGGGGTTGTGTAATATTACGGGATCTCTACACAGATCTCTCTTCTCGCGTTCCGAAATCTCATTGATTCTCATCTTCATAAGCGAATCGTCTCTTATCCTTTGATTTCGGGTATGTTTCTCTATCATTTTAGTTGATTGAATTTGTTTTCGATTGACATATGTATTTCTCCCCTACGATTTGATCTTTATTTGTTGCAGTTCATTTATTTATTTATTTATTTATTTTATTTTTATTGAGATTTGTCTGCCTTGTGGAATTTCGGGATTGAATTGTGGACTCTTCGGATCAGGAAAAACTCAGATCCTTTTTCGTTTTGATAACAATTTGCAGAAACTTGATTAACAATCACTGTTTTGTATTCCCTTTCGACTGGGCTGGGAAGAAGATCGGATATCTAATTAATGAAGCCAACTCGATAATTAATCACTATTCTGTATTTTGGATCCTACATTTCTCTTTTCTTTGCAGCCAAACAGATTGTTTACTTTCTACAACTACATTCGGTCTAGACCCCTTTATTTTGCTATTGGCGTTTGATTTCCGTTGCAATTTTCAAATCTTCTCCTATTTAGTTTGCCATTTCAAATTTCAAGTTCATCATTTTGTTTCTCCACGTAATGGTGTAGATATATCGAGCAAGTGGTTAATGGAATGCCATTCAAGAGATACTAAGACCATGGAGGAATATGCCAAACTTCTCACTTTCTTAAGAGAGTGACTATTATCTAAATTATGCGAACTGAAACAAAATCCTGTCTGTATGTGATTTTAGAAAAAAAAGAAGAATTGAATATTTGCATCGGAATGCAAGGAAGACCATGTAAGGTTCTGCATCTTGTTTCTGATTTATAGAAATCATTGAATTTGGCTCAGTGTTTAACTTATCAGGTCTTGTCGATTTTTAATTAAATAATTTTCCACTCCTCAGACAAGGCCATACATGATGTTCATTCTCCGGTAACATTCCTTTTTCTACCAGAATTTTTCTTCACGGAATCAGTGGAACATAATACTTAAAGATTAAAAACAGGACTGACTATTCTGCCATAAGAAATAATGAAATATGGTTTGATTTCATATTTGTTTCACGTTTACCATGACCAAAAAAAAAGTTAGTTTGGGGATCAGTGATACTGGTCCATCTGCCTCGTTTAGATCTTATTTCTGTCTTGTTAACTATTGAATTATCGTGAAGTAGTTCGAGATGATGATTTTGTCTAGTTCATTTGTTATAAGACTAGATTTTTGGGTTCACTAGAATAGAATAATGTTGTCAACTTTCATGTCTTGTCTAATTCTTTTATCTCTTGCATCTTCCTATTTTTCATCTTTTCAAATTTTTGTCTCTTGTTGCTAGAACTTTTTGGTTTTCTTAATCTTGTAGTACTGAAACACAGTTGTTCTAGGGAGCTTGTTGTGGATATTTTGCAATGGTTGAAAATCTGATGATCTGGTATCTTATGATGACAATTATCATCATAAGTGCTAAATATATTTTTTACGTTTTTTATATAAATATTAGTTTTTACATTCTGTTTGAAATGTTTTGAGATGAGCTGATGTTTGGGCTGATTTTGCACTATATATTAACTAGACTATTTTTGTCTGTATGAAGTTGTAGTAAAATTGTTACTTTACTGCATCTTTTTATGTATGCCTGCTCTTCATAGGGGCTTTCCTTATATCTACTATATTTATTTGTTGATTCTTATTCGCCTATTTTTTTGTAGTCAGTAAAAGTCGATCATGTGGAGGAGGACAGAGGTGAGAGCGCATATTTAATGGTGGAATGGAAAGGAAAACAATTGATGACTTTGAACCAGGTCCACTTCCTTCGCCCAGGCAAGTAGACAGGTTTGGATTCTTAAAGCAGGAACACAATAGTTCTCCAGATGCTATAACCAAAATCAGGTCCACCCATGTACAGGAGAGGTACGCTTTTATTCATGGCTCAATAATTTCTTCAACATTCTGCTTTCTTTATTAAGAATCGAGTTGATTATGCATTATGGCTGCCCTACAATTTCAGGGAGGAAAGGAGAGTTAGAAAATGGAGGAAGATGATTGGAATTGGAGGGAGCGACTGGAAGCATTATGTTAGGAGAAAACCTCATGTTGTTAAAAGGCGTATAAGGAAAGGTATTCCCGATTGTTTAAGGGGTCTAGTTTGGCAGCTGATTTCTGGAAGTCGAGACTTACTGTTGATGAACCCTGGAGTTTATGAGGTATTATGTTTCTCTTGGAATTTGTTTGAGATTGCGGTCTTAAAATGTTCTTGCAAATATTTTTGTTGTAAGCTTTCTAAAATCTAAAAAATTGTTAGTTTCTGTATCCTAGTTTCTGTTTCAAAGTGTTAAAAGTTTTAAAAATACAAATGGCTCTTTTAAAAGCTTTAGATATTTAATCAATGAACAACTTCTGATTAGTTAAATTAAAGTCGGTAAGTTTTTTGTTCAATCGTTTTACTCTATGAACTTACAAAAAAAACTAATGAATGTATGGACTGAATCCTCAAAAGTACTGGAGTCTTACCTCACTATCAAATTTGGCAATCGCACTAAGCAAATGCCTATTGCTTAATGCCTATTTTTGAAAGAAAGGTTTGAAGTGTGGCTCACTTCAATGCCTATTTTTTACGTATATTTCTAATTTCTTTTAATGTGTCCTTTTGTATTTTATTCTTAATGATTTAAGTCCTTTCCTGTATTTCTTTTTGTGGCTTCGATGGTTGGTTTGGCTTATGGTGTTTGTATGACCTAGGGTTGTAAAATTTTATTGTTACTAATGAATGTGTTTCCATGTCAAATTTGATTTACATCTCAAATCAAAAAGATCAAATATATGATTGAAACCAAAGTCATAATATCAGGTTGGACTTGACTGCTTTATGTTTCACCTGTGGTCATATGATATGATTAGTCTGACTGACTATAAATGTTTTGTACGACATATACGTATCGAAGTTTATGTTACCCAGCTAGTCAGCTACTACTGAGTTTGTTTCTGTGGCTCTTTTATGAGAATTCAATTTTAACCTTTTATTTGGGTTTGTTGTCAGTAAAGTAGAAACCTATACACTTATCTATTCAACAAAGCCATATGTGATTACTTTTATGGTCTTCTTTTGTAGTCGTATAAATATATAGTTCTAAGAATTATGGTTTTAGGTGGCTTATTTTTTGCAGCAATTGGTAATTTTCCATGGAATTGTATGTACTTTGAGATATTTCTTATACCTACCCTCACATGTTTTTCTTTCGATAAATGAAAAGATTATGCCATTTTTTTTTTTTAATATTTATACATCTATAGTCCCAATGATGATGGTAATCTAATGGTATATATTTTTTTTGCAGCAATTGGTAATATATGAGACATCAGCTTCTGAACTGGATATTATTCGAGATATCTCTCGTACCTTTCCTTCACATGTTTTCTTCCAACAGAGACATGGACCTGGTCAGAGATCTCTCTACAATGTTTTAAAGGCATATTCAGTTTTTGATCGGAATGTCGGATACGTTCAGGTTCTCAATCTTCTATAGTTTATCATCAGTGATATGTTAACAATTATATTTTGTGGTGAATGGTTTGTAATGTTTTTGAGCGTGTAGGGGATGGGATTTTTAGCTGGTTTGTTGCTTCTCTATATGAGTGAAGAGGATGCATTCTGGCTGTTGGTCGCATTACTTAAAGGTGCAGTTCATGCTCCTATGGAAGGATTGTATCTGGTAACGCTGTTCTTTGAGATCTCTCTATTGTGACTTCAACTTTATATTAGTTCCCGGTCCAGAAAATTTGAGAATCAGAAAAAATGAATGGACATAATCTCCCTTCTGATGCTTCATGTTTAATCGAAACAAATTTTTTCATTGGTTTTCGTGAAAACTGAAAAGTATTGTTGGTGGCTATTCCCATTCGTCTGGGAGGTTTAGGTATTAGGAGCATCAAAATATAAGACCATTGCTTCCTCTATGGCTATAGTGTAGACCTATTGAAAGTCTTAGACTCTACTCTATTTAGCATGAAATGATTAAGAAAATATGAATTAAATAGTTCTTGTTGGATCACGTAATTGTTAATGCTAGCTACCTTCATCTAGGAGTCGTGGGTCTTATATAGCCAAATCAATCCAGACAAAGTTTCTGATTTCTTATTCACATGAAAAGATAGCTGTTTTATATGGGTCAGCTTCCCTTTATATGATCGTAATAACCATTGAGTTCGTTATTAACTACAAGTAACTTGTTAACGGCTGACTGACAGCTTCCTATTTTGTTAGCATGGGCTCAAGAATAGAATAGAAATAGAACGAATGAAAAGAGAAATTAAGGAAAGGACTTATCACAATATCACTGCACCAGTTCCCCCTACCCCCACCCATGAATAAAAACCAAGAATGATTTGCTAGTGACTATAACTAAGTGAGCCAACTTTCCTCAATTCTGACCTCTTCTACATCCAACTTTTCTCAAGAAGTTCCAGGAGATTGCCCCATTCGGCCACCTTTCTATCATTGAGTAACTAATGTAGCTCCTCATGGTAGATTTTTGTTATACTAAATTTTATTTTGTTTCTGATGTGCTTTTCTTTTGTTTTTATTCATCCAATCATGATTTCTGCATGATCCTATGCTTGTAGTAATGAATGGTTATAAACTTGCATGAACTACTCTAGAGTTTTCTGCCAAGTTCATGGTGGTGCATTTTTTATAAAGTGGTCTAAAGTCTTGCCATCGATTACGTTTCTGAGGGTTGTGTCAAATATTAAATACTTTTTGATTGACTTGTGTTGGGGTCCATTTGAAGAGCTTTTTTTTTTTTTTTTTTTTTTGGGATAGG